AACCTACCTTGGTAATAGTTAATTCTGAGCTGGGACTCGGAATTGGCCAAACACAGTTTCCGGTCTTCACAGCACTTTTCCGTACACTACAGACTTATTTTTAAAATGCAGTCACGGATGTAACGAAAGCTCACTGTGTGCGTATGTCTGAGCACATGGGAACATACGTGTGCGAACGCTGCGCACCTTCTCTGCCGGGGAGGGGGATAAGGAAAAGAAGAAACTGAGCAGCATTTCCACAAAACTTTTGGCAGAACGGACAGAACAATGCAAACTGTGGCCCAGCTTATAAATCAATACAGTTTCTTTGCGGGGGAAATGAAGGTAGACAAACTAGCTCATTTATCTATCCACTTTGGAAAAAAAAAATGCAATCAGCTTTTATGGAAAAAAACAGCAACCATGTTTGGGTTTTCTTCTCATCAAGAATTCACTCAAAGAATTTCTGACAATAGCAAAGGAAAGAAGAAGGGGAAGAACAAAAAAGCACACCATGCACTCCTTACGCTAACAAAGAGGAAGCCAAAGAATGCTTTCTTGGTGTTTACAGCATTAATACCCGTGCGCTTCTTATAATAGAAACCAAAACAGAATCTCCATTTCAGGTCCACAAAGGTTTAAAAGTAAACTAATCAGTACAGATGTAGCAAGGAAATACTGTGTTTTGCCGAGCACAAAAAGCAAGGTAAGAATAGAAGTCACCAAGGGTTTGGGAACGGCTCCCTACTATGACCTGGGAAAGGGAAGTCCGGCTACTCCTTTACAATCCAGGGAACACTACAATTCATCAAGTGCACGGACTTAAGAGTTGAAGATTCATGGGAGGACAGGGAAGTAACTTCCTGAGGCAGATTTTTCATCCGAGGCCAGAAACATTGGACTCCCTTAAATACAGCCCCAAGACACAAACGCACAAGGGGGGTTATCACCCGTCCTATCATGATGGTGCAGGCCAGCCCCTGTCCTTGCTTTGAGGGGGCTGCTGCTGGCCCAGCCTGCTCCAAGGACACCACTCACCCGCTCCTCTCTGACGGGCCAATTACAGTGACTCTGGTCTCCCCCAGGGAAGGCAGAGCAGTGGTTCCCATTCGATAAACATCAACAGAACACTAAATCACGGGCTCTCTGAGCCCCAGTCTCCTCATTTAGAAAATGATGTCAGCTTTCCAGACTTTTCCACAGAGACATCCTAAGGCTCCAACAAACCAGTGCGGACGTAACAGGGAAACTAATCCTCTGTAACAGGGAAAGGGCCACCCAGATATACGGAGCACCATCCAGTAGGTGGGTACCACTTTCAATGAAATGAATGAAGGGACAAAGACAAGCACAGAGACCCAGCTGGGCTCAAACGCCTTCTGATCAAACCTCAGAGCAACCGGGAGTGCGCGAAGATCTAGGACAATCAGTCAATCATCTTGGGATCCTAGTTCAGAGAGGCAAGGATAGTCCCCAGGTGCTCCTTCAGTGAAAGCGTCACAGGAAGAGGTACCAGTCTGTCTTCTCCATCAAAAGAACCCCAGAGCTGGGAACACGCACATTTAATGAATGGATGAGTCAGAGACAGAGATGTGATTACCCAGCAGTGTCAGACTCAAACCCAGAGCGGGCAGAAGGGGCCTAGCTAGCCTCGTAGACACAGATACACCGGCCTCTAGCATCTTTGGTGGGAAGTTGATCAGGAAGTCTGCTGACTTCCTCTTCCTTGAAACCCCCCGAGAAACTCCTGAATGAGGCACCGTGGTCCAGAGGGGAGAGCACAGGCCCAGGAGCTCAGTCGGACAAATCTAAATTCTACTCGGAACAATGCAACTCACCTGACACTTGACAGCCTCTCCTGAATGTGGTTGGCAGAACCTGCTTCCCAAGGCTGATACAAAGACCCAAGTTGATAACACACGTAAGTCGCTATGCACAACCGTGGGATGTAGTAATAAACACGAAACAGGTCCTCAGACCCTCCTTCCAGGTGAAGGATGAACCGAATCTGGTTAGAGGATACAAAAATCCCCCGAACTCAAATCTTTAGTCTTAGAACAGAGACAGAGCCAAATTCCCCTTTGGGCCCAAATCTGGGTAGAAGTGGGACAGTCATCTGGACAATACAATGAGAATTAATAGCCTGGTGAGAAAGACCACACTACATTATCATCCATTTCTCTAAAATCGTAACTAAAGTCATCTTTAGGGCATGTGACCTCTATCCTTTGAGGCAACAATGGGCAAGGTCAAGGTCCGTCACAGCCAGCCAGAATGAGGATTTTGTTGGCATAGGTAAGAGAGGAGGAGAAACAGAGGCATTCTTAAACTCAAAGAATGAACGTCTTCATACCTTTGAGAATGTTTGCTCAGAAATCAGCAGCACTATTAGCAATGGCACACGTGAAGGAACACAGCCCGATTTCCTGTGAGCCCCGATGACCTCTCCAGAGCAGCCCTTGGCCACACTCTGTATTTACTCACGGCGCAACCCGATCCTGACTTTGGTGAGTTATTTCATAAGCCTTTTAAGGGTTACTACATATTGTTCCTATAAGAGGCCAATCCAAATTAGCAACAAAAGAATAGTTAAACACAAGAAAAACCACCTCTTTTGTGATCCTCAAGAAAGGCAGTCTTGGCCATTAAAAAGGCAAAGTGTTTTATTCTCTATCATCTTTCTCTTAGAAAAGTCGGTCCAGTAATTTTCCAGGGTGGGGAGGGGATTAGTAGTCTTCCACTCATGCCTGTTTGAAAATGCGGAGGCGTCGAACCGGTACACACCTCAGAGCAAGTTCTCTGGCATTTGGTTCTGGGCTGTGTCCTGCCCTCAAAGGCTGCACAACACACCCGCCTCCAAATGTCAGCACCTAAAGATGACTGCTGTTATTTCCAGTCTTCTCTCTGCTCTCCAACTGGGTGATTCCTACTGTACTGCTTCCAAGCACGCTGATTCTCCACTCTGCCATCTCTACTAAGTTGTCAAGCAGATCAGTAAAATTTCTAAGTTTTGTTTTGGATACTGTATTCTTCAGTTCTAGGATGTTCCATCTGGTTCTCTTTTTGGTGTCTATCTCTCTGCTGACTTAAGCTATCTTTTCGTTCATTAGACGCATATCTTCCTTTATATCCTCGAGCATACTTACAATTGCTTTGAAATCTTTGTAGTCTCTGCTGATTTGTGTTTTTTCTCTTGGAGAATGGGTCATATTTTCCTGCGCCTAGAGTAAGCCTGAATGGTACCTTGGACATTGTGAATGCTATGCTGGGGAAACTCCGGATTCTATTATATTCCTTAAAATAGGTTGATATTTTTATTTAGCATTTTTGGGTGCAATTACATGGTCAACTCTGGTGTGGCAGCTCAAAACTCAGGACGATTATTTCATCCTTAGCTTAGCTGCTTGGATCCTGCCCTATGTGCACGGTTCAGGCATCTGCATGGATTCAGATAGCTGATACACAGGATTTGGAGCTTGCTTTCTCCCTCCCACGGTCCCTCCTTCACTTTCCAATGGCTGTGCTTAACTCCAAACTGCCATTTCTTCTTTAGGATGAAAGGAGTGCAGATTTTCTCTAAGAGTTTTAAGTGCCCTGCACGGTACACACGCTATGCCCCTGCCTTCTTCTGAGGGGCGATTCAATTCCAAAATCTGCCTGTTCGTGTCAAATTTGATTATCTTCATACTGCTGTCTTTTGTCCAGAGTTTAGAATTATCATTTGCAGGGAAGGTGCAGTCCAAGACCATTACATGGTCCTTACAGAACCCACATGACATTTTTCCCCCCATCTGGAACTATCCCTCACAATCTTGTGGGTCACAAAGTCAGAAAGGTTCTCCCAGGCAGGCTGTCGCCGATTCATGGGGCATGAGCCGTGCAACTAGGAAACCAAGGAACTGCACAACCATCAGAAAAACTTCCAAGTCGGTCTCCTGCTCACAGGCCCACTACCTTGGTGTTCCCTGTCACGGCTCTCTCTCTCTCTCCTCATTCCACCTCACCCTCCAGGGCTTCTCTCCATGCAGACTGAGCAAATCACGGCACAGTGATCTCAGGGGATCTATACATCTGACACATTTAGCTGGCTTTGATGAGGCTAGAAATGGAATATGCCAGACCATCCAGGCTCTATCAGAAACGATACAAGATCACTCTCAGCACATGTGACTAGTCAAAACAGAGGTTTAGCCCTCCAGACTGAAGAAAATGGAGAAACAAATGCTAATCCTTGATGGGAGGACGGCAAAGTCACGCTGCGGGTGCGTTCTTGCTGCCATCTTGGAAAAACAGGATCTGCCACATACGTATTTGATATTTGATAAAACAAAACAAATGCTGCCCGAAGAAAAACACGAGGAAAATACAGGTAGGCTAGTTAGTTTAGTGTGAAGCATGTGGTCCAATTCTCCTGCCATCGTGTTCATCACCTTCTCACGTCCTCAGTCTAGTGACCTCTAAGCTATTCAGCACAACAGAGGTTTCCAACAGCAGTCTACTGAGTTCCCAAAGATTCAATACTTAAACAGTGTATCAATTTCAAAAGAGAAAGAAATGCTTATTCGCTATCATCCATTAAGGGTAGGTCACGATTAAAGTTTTGTTTGTTTTTTGATTAAGATAATGGTCCATAATAACTACTATGTATGAAATGTCTACCATGTGTTTGAAAATTTCTAGGCACTTCAATTACCTGTTTTTATTCACTGTTCTCTACATGATTTAAGAGTGTGTTTAAATGCACCAGTTTAGGACACACATTGACAATTTAGGAGAAAGGAGATGGGCTCAAACACACTAAAGAAAAATACAATGCAAAATTACAAAAATACAAACCCTGATACAAACAAATGTGACCTAGGATGCATATCTGTGGGAATGTGTGCACATACATATTATTTTAAGCTACCTTCTGAACACCCAAAAAGGTTCATTCCAAAAAATGGATATAGTCTAAATTCTAAATACCATATTCTCAACAAAGCCATATGTGTATGTCACATGCCGAGAAATCATCTTACCTTGTCTTGGTTGTCTTTATTCTTGTAACACAGATTTCCGATCAGACGAATGAGATGAGACTTAAACCCCTCCCCCACACTGGAGATGTCACCCTCCGCCCTTATGCAGCCACTGCTATTGAAGATGCTGGCGGTGTCATTGCCGGCTACGTGAATCAGTCGCAAGAGATCTGTAACGAAAACAGGAAGCTTTATTTTCCATAAGAAAATTTTTAGTATTTTGTACCGATGTTCCAGATCCAAATCTAACTTATATTAATGGACGAAGATAAAATAAAGGTGGAATACCTTTAATGATTAGAAAACTCTTCTTTTGCTTGAAATTTTTTCATGACTCTGGTTTTGGGGCGATAAGCCATAATGATTATCCCAATTTGGACTTTCTATTTATCCACAAAGAAAAAAGTTAGCTAAAACTTTCCTGCCAACTTTCTTTCTTTTTTTAAAGATATATTTATTTATTTATTTGAGAGAGAAGAGAGAAAGAAAGAGAGAGAGAGCGTGTATGTGCTTCCATGTGCATGCGCGAGGGGAGAGGCGGGGGGAAGCAGACTTCCCACTGAGCTACAGAGCCCAACACAAGGGCTCGATCCCCCAACCAGGAGATCATGACCTGAGCCGAAACCAAAAGCCAGATACCTAACTGACTGAGGCACCCAGGTGCCTTCTGCAATCTTTCTTATAAACAGGTTTCCAATCCCAAATTCTTTATGAAGGAACTCAGGTGAGAACTACAGTCAACTACATCTAAAATATAATCAGTACCTATTCTGTAATGAGCTGTATGACAGAAACCAAGAAGTAGGTTGATTTTTTTTCTCATTGTCCAGATAACTGAAAGGCAACATGTACTCTCCCTAAATCTATTCTAGCTATATTCGAAGAATTAACAATATTATGCTCTATGAAATGTCTCTAGACAGCATATGAAAATAGATCATCTTCCAGAAGCTGTGTTTAAGTGTTTCCACGTTTTCTCATTTAGCACCCTCACAAACCTATTAAATGGAAGTACTGTGATGCCTGGGGGGCTCAAATTGGTTATATGTCTGCCTTTGGCTCAGGTCATGATCCCAAGGTCCCGGGATCAAGTCTCACATCGGGCTCCTTGCTCAGCAGGGAGTCTGCTTCTCCCTCTGCCTGCTGTTCCCCCTGCTTGTGCACTCTCTCTCTGACAAATAAATAAATAAAATCTTTAAAAACAAACAAACAAAAAAAGCAAGTATCACTTTCCCAATTTTATAATGAAGAAATCAAGCTCAGAGAAGTCAGTAATCTGGCAGAGTTGGGATGACAACCCTTGTCTGCCCTGGCTCCAAGCACCCATTTTTCTAAAAAGATTCTGTCTCCCAGGTTTGTGGTGTTTCATTTTAATTACCACTAAAAGCACTGCACTCAAAATAAAACACTGACATGAGAGTCTAAACATCTATAGCTCACTGCTGAGTCATCTACCCACCTCGATACAAATTCATCATTCTTAGCATACGCATCTCCACAACAAGTATAATCCTTTTTTAAAGGAAAAAAATAGCAAACAGTGAATAACAACACCATAAGCATGGCTAACCACAAGAACAGGTTCTACTTGAATTATTTTGCAAATAGCTTTTTAGCAAAGATAGTATGCCAACCAATGGTTAAGAACCAAATACATAATCGCTATGTGTAAGGCACTCTCCTTTGTGCCCTATGAAAGTAACTGGGAAAAATAAACTTAACAGATTTGGAAAACGAATATAAAAATCACCATCATCACTGCTGAAACTACCCCCATCACCAAACCGTCCCCCACCATCATTACCCTCCTACCACGTCGCCACAACACTACTAAGGAAACGTCCACAACATACACCGTGTGTAACAGGCATCAGTATTCCCATCTACTGGTCAGGCATCCTGACAGCAGGTAAGTGGCAAAAGCCAGAGCTGGGGTCAAAACAGTGATTCTTCCTCCCTCCCACCAAAAAAAAATTTTTTTTTAAATATCTCAAAAGCATACCAATACAATGAAAATTAAGGATCTGTGTTTGGGCTTACACTTTGGCATGACAAGCCAAAGATTCCTTAATTACAAATAACAGCAGGTGGGATACTTCACTCACCAATCACTCTTTCCAGCAAGCCAGGAAAAACCTGCAGATAACTGAGCAGATCAGTATTCGCGGTCATTTCACACAAGACATCAAGAAGCCGGATCGTGGCCAACGCCTCCTAAAAACAGAAAGCATGACTTTTAAGTCAAGCGAAATGATCTGCAACTGTTATCGGTAACGGTAAAAGAAAGGAATATTTTGAAAAATATTAAATAATTGGTGCTGGGAAAGACAGCATCCAACGAGAGAAAACAAAACAACCAAGAACGAAACACAAGTATTAAATCTGTACGTGAATGATCTTTTTCCTAACAGCAACATCTGCCATCAAGAACGCGAGATTATGTGTCATTATGTGTCTTCTTGGAGCGAGGAGTCAGAAAAGTTCTTATTCAAGCAAAAATACCTTCCAACAGTGGAATAATGTTCAAAATTACTAGCTACGTACATAACATTTATGCAAATACTTTCTTTTTAAAGCATTCCCAGCAAGCAAGTTCTACTTTAAAGATTCAACTAGCCCATGAAATACATTAATTTCTTGTCCACAGGAATCCTATAAAATGCTGTGGTTGAAAGAACTCTGGCAGCAAGAACGCGCATTATTTCTGGGTAAATATAAACCTTTATGCAGTATCTTACAAGGCTAGAGAAGATAACGTTATTTGAAAATGTTAGTTCACATGACTACTCAATAACTGATTATCAATGGACCAAATGAACCAGAAACGACCAACTACACGGTGTTAGATAATCTGAAGAAAGTGGTAAAATCCAATTTTGTACAGATTTCGACCCTCATTTTTAAAGTTCACATTATTTGGCAAAATGTGGTAGAGGCTATAAATTCAGGTCATAAAGATAACATTCTTCAAAAGAAAAATAAACTACTTCCTTTAGTTAATTCTAAACCTGTACTTACTATTCTCCAGTTATGAGATTTGAAGGTAATATTCTAATCTACCATTCTGAAATATCAAAAGAAACCACAAGAAACAACATATTTTAAAAATTATTTGTTTGTTTTTTTGTTTAGAGAGAGAGAGTCTGAGGGAAAGGGAGAGCCCCAAGCAGACTCTGCACTGAGTGCGGAACCCAACACGGGGTTCGGTCCCATGACCCAGCAGTCATGACATGAGCCGAAATCAAGAGTCAGACGCTCAGCTAACTGTGCCACCAGAGTGCCCCACAACACACATTTTTAATGCCCTGTATCTTTAATTTTACTGTAGCTTTCACTTGCTCGTGAATGAGTTAAGGGAAATATCCAGATGAGAAGGAAGAGATCAGAGTCACATTCAGAAGACTCCTGAGCAAACCCAAAGACGTCGTGCAGCGTCAGCACCCCCTCTGTGAAGGGGCTGCCCAGTCAGCTGCCCAGACTGTCACCTGTGGATGCCATTCCCCCTTTAAGAATGGCTGGCTGGCTGTAGATCTAGGTCAGACTATGTGTCATGGGATCCTGGACACCCTGTCATGCCAGACAGCAAACAGGCGATAGAGACGACTGGGATCACGTTGGAAGGAACCAGAGGCAGACTGAGGAGGCACTGGCTGGCAATGGCACATTAGAACACGAGGGAGAATTACAGCTAAAACGGACTGAAAATAAATCAAGTGGTTTCAAGGGTGCCTGGGTGGCTAGGTCGGTTAAGCGTCCAACTCTTGGTTTTGGCTCAGGTCACGATCTCAGGGTCCTGGGATCGAGCCCCACATCTGGCTCCATGCTCAGCGGGGATTCTGCTTCCGCTCTCATGCTCTTACTCTTTCTCTAAAATAAATATATCTTAAAAAAATAAAAAAGGAAATCAGGCAGTTTTAAAACTATGACATCACAACAGCGAGGAAATCCAAACAAAACCGGGGCACCTGGGTGGCTCAGTGGGTTAAAGCCTCTGCCTTCAGCTCAGGTCATGATCCCAGGGTCCTGGGATCGAGCCCCGCGTCGGGCTCTCTGCTTAGCAGGGAGCCTGATTCCTCCTCTCTCTCCCTGCCTGCCTCTCTGCCTACTTGTGATCTCTGTCTGTCAAATAAATAAAACGAAATATTAAAAAAAAAAAGAAGAAAGAAAGAAATCCAAACAATACCACCTCACAGCTGATGTCGTAAAACCAACTCACTACTTAGAAGACTGGGAATCAGATTATACCTTGTACAACCTAACAGCTGATTAGGAGAAGTTTGTAAATGCTAAGAGTCAAAATACCACTATTCCACAACCCCCCAAAGAATGAACTAATCCAGGTAACATCACAAAAGACAAACCAGACCTTACCTGCCTCTTGATGAAAGCACGTATCACCAATAATACAACATTACTGGAAAAAAAGACACGAAAACCTAACCCAGATGTGAACAGGCTCTCTGGAATTATTATCATCAGTCAGAGGAACGCAAGGGAAAGAGGAATGTGTTAAACACCACCGTGGAGATAAAATCAGAATTCACACTGCAGAAAACTCTCCAGGAAAAACGACCCAGGTTCTTCAATAAACATGCTAGCAGAAGAAAAAAGGAGAAAAAACGGAGAGAGGGCAAGAGAGGAACATATATACATGAATGGGTATTTGGGACACAACCACCGATTGTAACGCATGGCCTCTGTATTCTGATTCAAAGAAATGAACTTGAGCAAAATTACTAGATGATGGGGAAAAATCTGAGTGTTGTTTACTTGATATTATAATTATACTGCTAATTTTTTAGGTGTACTTATAGTTGACTTGGGTGTGACTCCTCATCTTCTTTAAAGATACATATAAAATAATGCACTGATGAGACATGTCCAAATTTTGCTTCAATCCAGGGCAGCTACCACAAGATCGGGCTAGGATCACAGACAGAACAAGAGTGGTAATGAAATGACATGGGGGACGGGGTTCAGGATGCTTTTCTCGCTTAGTCTGCTTAAAATCTTCCATGATAAGAAGATAAGAATAAAATCAGAGAGTTGGAAGGGATCATGTAGATGTTTCCTTCCAGCTCCTAAATTCTATAAATTAATCTAGTTCCACCTAACACATTCCCAATCTTAATTATTAGAATCCTTTTATTAATAATGTGTTCCTAAGGAGCATCTGGAAACCAACAATGAAAAAAAAAAGCCAGGAAAATGATTCTCTTAAAACCTAAGGGGAATATTTGAGATGCCCTTCTAGTATTTGTTAAGTATCATACAACTGTAGTCATTAAATCGGGTACTAGAGAAACAGACACAGGCACATCAAAGGAATGAGCCTCCACAGTGGTCAGAAAAGGGGGGGAAAAGATTAGTCTCCTGTCTAGATCATCCGTCTGGGTTAACTTTCCCCTTTGGAGTCTTTGAACAATTTTACAATATTCGAAGTTGTAGAAAAGTGATAATGGTGCAAATGACTCTTGTTCACAGAAACATGGATTCCTTGGGTCTGGCTGGAATGCAATTAATTCCTGCCTTGTGCACAGACCACCATTTGCACCTATGCGTCACATCGTTCCAGCATTCTTTCATTGCATAAAAACACACGGCTCTCAGAATTCTTTGATAGCTATTAGTATCTCACTGGTTCTCTTTGTAAAACATCAGAAACACAGAAATGGACCCCAAAGCATATAAGAATGTAATGTATGACAAAGGCGGCATTAAAAACAGTGGCAAGGATGAGATTACTCACTAAATGGTACTGACGTAACAATTAACAGCTACCATTTGGGGAGTGCTAACCAGGTACCGATCAGTGTAGTAAATGCTTACGTCAAAATACTATTCATCTTCCAGGCAGAGAAACTGGGGTACAGAGGATAAGCAACTTTTCCAAGATCACACACCAATAATAGAGGAAATCAGGATTCAAAGCCAAGTGGTCCTTTACCAAAGATTATAGAATCTTGAATCATCCAAAGACAGAACCTGGATATATACTTCCCTCCTTGCTCAAAAAGAAATTCAGTTAAAAATGTGGATCAAGTACTAAAAGGATGAGCACATACAGGTGCATATTTCCACAATCTAAGTGAAGATGGTTTTACAGAATATGTAAAAAACTTCAGAAACCATAAGGATAAAGTTGGTAAGCCTAGCTAGATTGAAGACAAAAATATAAACTTCTAAAAGGCTGAGGATACCATAAGTAAATTCAAACAAAAAATTAACTATGGGAGGGAAGTTTCCTGTATATGTAACAAAAACATTATTAAATGTATTTTAGAAGGTAACCTAACATGAAAAATCAATTAACATGCTGGATACTGAAAACAGTTACAGAGAAATGGGAATTAAATCAGATTAGGGAAAGGCTGTAAATCCATATACTCCCATGCTCTTTTGTCTGGCATTTACAAGTATTTCTAAACATTTTAAATAAACAGACTCTTTGACTCAGTGATTCAACATCCGGGAATTTACAATTCCAGATTTACCTGCCCAAAAGTGCAAAGATTTCCACGCCACAGCATCACCTGTAAAGGTCTGAGGAAAAACCCTGGCAGCAATTAAAGTGTACGGCGACAGAGAACAAACAAGAAAATTCTCTCTCCTCTGTCCAGTGGAATTGTGCTCAACTGTGAGGGAGAAGGAGATGAAGGCACCATCATGTGCTAAAGTGGAAAGATGTAGGAGACACTTCAGGCTAAGTGAAATAAAAAGTTGAAGAATAAAAAAAGTATTGTTAAAAAAAATAAAAAGAGGGGCGCCTGGGTGGCTCAGTGGGTTAAGCCTCTGTCTTCGGCTCGGGTCATGATCTCAGGGCCCTGGGATCGAGACCCGTGTTGGGCTCTGCTCAGCGGGGAACCTGCTTCCCCCTGTCTCTCTCTGCCTGCCTCCCTGCTTCCTTGTGATCTCTGTCTGTAAAATAAATAAATAAAATCTTAAAAAAAAAAAAAAAGAAGAAGAAGAAGAAGAAATGAACCAAAAAAAAAACCAGGTGTGTACTTACAAAAATCTCTGAGAGAAAAAAGTATATATCGATATGTCCACAGAAAACACACAGGGGTTGGACGGGAATGAGGACTTTTGTTTCACTGACTTCAGTGTGAATTTTTTGTATTTAATAAGCAAATATTATTTGCACAACATAAATATTTAATCCCTTATCAGTCTGTGGAATGAAAGATTACCCTTTCTTATTCCACAAGTATTTATTAAATACTATGTTAACAGATACTACAGATACTCCAACGTAAGTTAGGCACTGCACGGAATAAAAGAGTGAACCACCCCCCACCTGAGGATAATTCTCGTTAACAGATGAATACGAGAAACTACAGAACGAAAAAGAATTTATTTAACTTTCAGAGAAAAGGCCATGCCCCCTACAAGTGACAGGACTAAGACTCAAGGTAAAGCTGGACTGAACCTTAAGTCCCACAGGATAAGCAGCGCCTTCGCGCCAACGACAACATTCTCAGACACTGGAAACAAGTACCCAAAAATACCAAAGCCAGAAACACATACGTTCATGTGAGGACCCGAAACTATTTCTATTAAGGAAGACTGAGGACAAGTCTCGGGATTTTAAAGCCGAATGACTACACAAATACACAACAGATGACCCTGAGACAACATTTTCACTCCAGTTTTTTGGTCACAGCCTCATGGGACCCTTACTGGGTATACTGTCCTAGGGACATCACAACTGGGTAAGCGAGAGGTTTGCCGGTCTGCTGGCTGTGGGGAGAGGGAAGAGGAGGCAGGAGCACGGGGCACTGATCGGCAGCCGCTGACTCCCGCCGCAGACATACTCCCACCACAGCGGATCTCAGGCTACCAGGAGTTCAACAGTCAGCTCACGGATTTCTGAATATTAACTGACTCTCAGTCAGTCTGTACAGGCCGGCTCCAGTAGACCGCTGGGTATATGGTACATTTAAATACCGAGGTGGGAGGTCACCTTAAAAATGACTGTGGCTTTTTAAAAAACATGTACGTGAAAGGAGAACACATACACACTAATATGTCCAAGTCATGACTGTATAGATCAATCAATTTTAAAATTTTTTTTTTATTCATTTGAGAGAAGTGAGAGAGTGAGCGAGAGTGAGAGCGTGAACAGGGGGGAGGGTCAGCAGGAGAGAAGCAGACTCTATACCAAGCAGGGAGCCCGATGCAGGGCTTGATCCCAGGACCCCAGGACCACAATCCGAGCCCAAGGGAGACCCTTAACCGAATGAGCCATCCAGGCACCCGATCGATGATTTTTTAAAAAGTAAACTCTTCTGGGCTTTTCAAAAGAAAACTGCCTACAATTTTCTATTTATTAATATGCAGCAATTCTTTCCATTTTAGAGAAAAAAACTGCTTGAAAGAAAAATACAAATTTTCCTCCATATACAAAGTTCCATCAGGTAATTTCTTATTATGATACTGAAGTCATCTATACAGCAAATGCCAGGGCCCTGAAAAAGTTTAACAAGTAGCAAGTTTTACTACCTTTTCTGTCTCCTAGAGAATTAATTTTTACAACTTTTTGAAGCACAGCTCACTGCTCCTCCTGCTGGAAACGGAGGCAAATCCATCTCCAGAAAGGAAAGGCTCCCGTGAGCCAAGGCGTGCCCTCTCCTATCACAGAAATGAGAACAAAAACACCAGCTTTGTCTGCGAGACCCAATGTGGTCTGCAGGACGAGGTACAGAACACCCAGGGCAAAGGCGCCTGGGAAAAAGGTACAGTCACAGAGAAGGAGATCTACTGCCAGCGTCGCAAGCATGGGCTGCATGCAGAGGGAGTGAACCGTTCCCGGCATCACACACACGGATCTAGAAAACGTGAACCGATCCGGAGATAGTGGATGGCCCCACGGAAGGGCAGCCCCTCCCGTCTCCCCACCCCACTGCCCACGTGAGTCGCTCTCCACCCGCCACTCCCATCAGCACAGAAATGTTTTCATTGGTGTTAGCACGATCCAGTCCACGTGCAATAAAATACAGCCATCTTGAGCGCACCGTACAGTTGTCAAGGTACGCAGCTACGTATCACATTTCTCTTACTCAAAACATACCCTCATATCCTCCATCATCAAATCCACCCCTTCCCCTCCAGCCCCAGGGGACATCAGATCTGCTTTGTTCACATCAGTGAGTTTCGCCTTCCACAGAATTTCAGAGATGGAATTGTAAGATACGTTCTTGGGTCTGGCTAATCTCGGGCGGTAAGCTTGTGATTCCTCCCTGCTGTCGCATCACAAACCCCTTCCTTTCTACTGCTGCGCCGTTTTCCAGAGACAGAACCGTTCTAACTTGAAGACAGAAGGGAAGGGGGATGGAACAGACAAAAATAATGAGAATTTCTCAAGTGTGAAGGATGTAAATGCTTCCGTTGCCTTAGTAAAGATCAGACTAATCCAAGGCGGCCTCGAGAAAATAAAACAGAATAATTACAGGATGGTGTATGATCGGGAACAGCCTATAATGACAGAAGAAACAAACATTCTGGAAGGCAATTTAGAAATGTATACCATAAGCTTTAAAACTGGATATACCCCAGGCCGCCTGGGTGGCTCAGTCAGTTAAGCATCCGACTCTATTTTTTTTTTTTTAATTTATTTGACAGAGAGAGAGAGATCACAAGTAGGCAGAGAGGCAGGCAGAGAGAGAGGAGGAAGCAGGCTCCCTGCTGAGCAGAGAGCCCCATGCGGGCCCGATCCCAGGACCCTGAGACCATGACCCGAGCCGAAGGCAGAGGCTCAACCCACTGAGCCCCCCAGGAGCCCCAACATCCGACTCTTGATTTCGGATCAGGTCATGGTCAGGTCAGGGTCCAGGGATGGAGCCCTGCATCGGGCTCTATGCTCAGCGCCGAGTCTGCTTGAGATTCTGTCCCTTCCTCACCATCTGCTCCACCCCCATCCCAAGTGTGTGTACTCTCTCTTGGTCTCTCAAATAAATACATCTTTATTTAAAAAAAAAAAAAAAAAAAAAAAAAGACCACACAAAACTGGATGTATCCTTAACACCCAGCACGTCCACTCCTGGGTTAAGGTGGAAAGGTACAAAGATGGAACTGCCAAGACATATACGGTAGCACTAACTTCAGGAAACAGAAATAAGGACAACCCAATTGTCCAACTAACAGCTGGACAAATGAACTATGGCAAATTCTTCACTTCTAATGTTACACTGACTTCATTCCGCAAAGACTAAGTGCCTGCTGTGTGCACAGTACTATGAAAGTAACAGTCAGAACTCCTACCCTCATAAAACTTACATGCAGGAGAAGAAAAACCAGAAACTTTCCAACAGCACAGCCTGATTTCCTTTTTAATACATATATGCTTGTGTGTTCACGGATGAACATATATATTTGATGTTATCTGCCTGGAAAAACACGTTCGCTGGAATTTGTTTTCAGGTCAGGTGCTGGGTGGCTCAGTGGGTTAAGCCTCTGTCTTCAGCTTGGGTCATGGTCTCAGGGTCCTGGGATCGAGTCCCGCATCAGGATCTCTGCTCAGCAGGGAGCCTGGCTCCCCCCCTCTCTCTGCCTGCCTCTGCCCACTTGTGATCTCTGTGTGTCAAATAAATAAATAAAATCTTAAAAGAAAAAAAAAGAAGAATTTGTTTTCAGGTCATTAACTCTGGACGGCAGGAATAAGGGCACTGTTTTCCCCTGCTGTATTCTCTTAACTGTTCTAAAACAAGGACACTCTCCTTACCCATCCGGGCCGTGTAACAGAATACCACAGACTGCGCGGCTTAGAAACGACAGTCATGGCGATGGAGACCCAAGTCCATGATCGTGACGGCTGGGTTCTGATGAAGGCTCTCTTCCAGGCTACAGACGGCTGACCTCTCAGTGTCCTCATGCAGTGATGGGGCAAAGGATGATGGCAGGGTCTCTTTATAAGGGCACTAATCCCATTCCTGGGGGCTCCCCACTTAAGACCTACTCACCTCCCACAGGCCCAGCCTCCTAGGACCACCACCTTGGCCATCAAGTCTGCAATGGATTTGGAGGGGAGGGGACACAAACATTCAATCCACAGCAGTCCACACATTATTCAAGCGATATTTTTTAAAGCTTTTACAAAAGAATTCTCAGAGAGGGCCTAGCTGGGTCAGAAAATCTCCCTGCTCTCTCCCGTCCAAGATTAAGGAATCCATCCTCTTACCTCATCATCCGCATGCTGCTCGGAAGTCAGTTTTGGCACCATCTCGCAACGGTCCACAAACGTGCTTGCGATCAGCTCGGCATGGCTCAGGAACACAGGGATGTCATCCTTGGTCAACGGCTCATCCCCCACTAATTTCGCAATTATGAGGTCCAGCAATGTAACTCTGTACAATGTACAAGAGTTTCAGGTGAATATGTAATACAATGCTAGAGATACTGAGAGCGCATTCTAAGAGAATATGCTTACTTTTAAATTTCTCACTTTGTTTATAATGTCTAGCTAAGGGAAATATTTTGTGTGAATAAAATGAATCTTCATCAAATACGTATTTTTTTAAATTGTGGCTTCTTTGATGGGACAGGACGACAGAAACCAGCACCTTTTCTGGATGCATTCCTGTGAGCCCTTCGCTCAACATTTCAGAAATGCTGTCAGATTAGGTTTTGTAACACACACACGATGACAACAGCAGCAAGGTTCAGTGGGCTAATAACGTCGATTCCCGGCTCACTGATGGGCTAACAAACGTTCGACACACACGGTCTCCGAGAGGCAGCTACCATCCCTGGCCGGCATTCTGCACGGCGAACAGGGCTCAAGGAGGCTGACTGACCCACCCAGATCACACGTGCCAAGCTTCCGTGTCGGGATCCAGGCACAAGGTTCCCCCTCTCCCTCCTGGGCCACGGGCCTCAGCTCCTCCCTGTACTAGCCTTCTTGTAAAGGCTGGCTTTGTTTGTTTCGTTATTTTAGTTCATAAAAACATAAATGTGGAGACTAAACCCATGACATTTTACACCAACACTTAAATGATCCCATAAGTATTTCTATTCAGCAAACTCTTTCCTTTTCTGAGAAAAAAAAAAATGTATCCTACACAGGGCAGTCTATCCAGCATACACCAAGCAGGAGGTTTCCCGAAATCACACTGTGACTGGGATTAAATGCATAACTCTCATTTACTTCCAAACCAGAAAGGACGCAGATACTTCGTAAATGGGCAAAATAAACTTAGAGCAGGCTCGGAGCATTTCTTACCAAACAAACAAACAGAACTTGTTTACTGCTGTAAGCTTCGAAGTGGAATAAAACTATACCAAACTCTTCCCGTATTCTTGCTAAATGACAGGAAAGATATCAGTCTGGAAAAATCACAGACCGTACCGGTTTTCAAGACTCCTAAAGGCCTCCGATTTCTTACAGCAACGACTAATTCAAAAGAAAACAAATAATGCCCTCGACTGAGCACAGAAGAACAACAAGTAGTTCAGTATTAGGATATTTTCATTTTCCCTTATTCACACAGAAACTTTACAAATGAATGGGGTCCTCTCGGGCCATAAAACCAGGCTTCCCACCTTTCCCAGGCAGGTAACTTTCCGGAAATGCCAGGGAGGAGGCCAGCTAAGGAACCCAAATGTCTGCTCTAAAAACACTCCTTTTAACCTGGGACACTGTGGCAATGATTGTAGGTATGAGATGTCATGAGCTCTGGTTTCCGGGAATTGAGCACCTTGTGGGCTGTTAGAACAGAAAAGAAGGAGGAAGAAAGGAGGAAGAGATCGTGAAGGAGCTGCATGAGGTCCAAGACAGAAGGGGCAGGCCCAGCGTGGTACCCGCGTGCATCCAGCAGGACTGAGAACACCCTGGAGTCCCAGGGGACATTCTGAGAGATCTGGAAGCTGGAGATGACAGGTCAGCACACACGTGGCCTTCCTTACAAGCTCACCAGGGGCCCTCCACCCCTCAGACCTCCCTCTCCTCTCCACTCTACTCCGTCACTGTGACACAGGACAGCTAAGCAGAAGAGTTGAAAGTGATTTTAAGGTTAAAATAAAAAATAAATGTTCAAAATACAAAAACATAAATCAAGCTTAAATATCACCTGAGAATAAATGAAACTTCATTAAATGATCCTACTTCTACTGTGTTCTCTGTCAACAAAAACTTTTAGTGGCTCCCGTTATTAGGGAGTGGGTCCAAAAAAAGTCCCAAACTCGAGTCCCCATCAAACTCTCCAACTCCCTCTACTTCGAGCCACCATCGAAAACCATCCTTCTCGTCAAATTCAGGAATCACATGTGGGGCACTCACACCTCAAGGAGGAAACTGTTTTCAAAATCACTTACTGGGGCGCCTGGGTGGCTCAGTGGGTTAAGCCGCTGCCTTCGGCTCAGGTCATGATCTCAGGGTCCTGGGATCGAGTCCCGCATCGGGCTCTCTGCTCAGCAGGGAGCCTGCTTCTCTCTCTCTCTCTCTCTCTCTCTGCCTGCCTCTCTGTCTACTTGTGATCTCTGTCAAATCAATAAATAAAATCTTAAAAAAAAAAATCACTTATTATAGTGGTGCATTATATCTGCCACCTCCTCTCCAAGCCAGAAACCACAGGGAACCGTAGGTGTACAGAAATGTCCTGCAGAATCCGGGAAAATGGGACACAATGGGGAATGTCTTACTTCTTCCAGCTGGGGGGGAACCACAGTAAATCCCTCCTTGAAAAGGTGACAGAATACAAGTGCTATGCACTCGCTGATTTATTTATTCCCTCCAAAGTGAAGGATGAAAAAGCAAGAGATCTAGTTAAAAAGGTCAGGGACTAGAGGTCCACAGCCACACATCAGTGTGAAAGTCCTGCGTCCTTAAACCCTGGAATCCTGGTAGCCTCAGGCTACCAGACACACCCCTCAATTCAGGCTTGAGCTTCTAGGATTTTCTCCCTCAACTGCCAGCTGTCATTCCCAATCTTTCTGATCCACTTCTGACTAAACACTTCCACAGTCTGTCCTCAAAATGAGGCTCTGTTTCATTTAAAAAAAAAAAAAATAGCAACATATATACACATGAAGAGTTTTAGGGGAAAATTCTATAGCAAAATTTTTATTTGAAAGTTATGCTTAAATTAATGGAGGCTACAACTTTAATAGCCACACCTGGGCTGTCCTGAAGTGAGTGGGTTTTTATGAGAGGGCTGGAGTGAGGGACAAAGACGGACGGGAGACACGTGAGGGAGTGAGTTTTATGAGCAGGGCATGAATAGTATTCTCTAATTCCAGAAATAAAATGTAATTCAAATTTCAGGACTGATGGCTCCAACAAACCATGGATTTACCTCTGGGCTCCTCCACATGTGCCCGTTTGTTGAATGCTGTGCCCACAAAGGCCAAACCTTTCATTAATTTGAATTAACCAAGATACAGGTACAAAAGTATGGGGCTTTAATAAGTTACAGAGGTAAGAAATCCTTAGGCCGTGGGGAAGAAGATCACCGATTTTGGCGTCCAGCAGACCGCGCTCCAGCGCTCCCCCAGCTACCTCTGAACCCAGGACAAACACCCGACCCACAAGACCGCAGAGCCCGGCGTGGCAGAGGGCAGGAAAGGCACCGACGCCCCAGCGTCTCCAGAGGATGGACCGACCTGGAGGAAAAGCCCAGGTAGCCGAGCAGCAGGACTAGCAGCAGCGGTGGCGACGGGGAGGGGGTGAGGACGAGCCGCAGACGCACAGAGGAGAACCAGCAACTCATCTCCTGAGTGATAACCGCGCGCCAAGCGCTGGGCGCTTCCGTGCAGACCTGTCGGGTACGGCAATCTCACGGGCAGCTATACCGTTCTTACCCTATTCTACAGATAGATCCGAGTTCCACAAGTGCAGGTAACTGACCCCAACCACGAGCCACGGGACCACCTCCGCTGTTCACTACTCTGCTATACAGACTACAAGGCTGAGAGCCACCCAAGCGTTTTCCGGGATCAGCGAGTTCCATCTAGTAATACTGGCGTTCACGGGGAAGGAGGACCAGGAAACCGTATACAGGCAGACTCTGGTTTCTGCTGAGTCAACCACATAAACGGGTTTTGACTCCCTATCCTCAACTTGTCACCGAGTGGTCTGGAGTTGATGAATGGTGACATTCCAAGCACTTTCCCTCTGGAGCCACCCACACTGTCACCGTGATGCCCCAGGGACCACCATTAGGCACTTAGTGAACTCATTACCTGTTTTACTGACTGATCAACAAACGTGTTTCAATCTGGCAGCCCCCAGCCCAAGTGGACGTTCTGACTGAGCAGGTGGGGGCTGCAGCCTGGGCAATCCTCAGGGGATCCTGATGTGTGTTCCCAAAAGTACCACGGTGTCTCCCCAGGGGTCTCGAGGGAAGTTCCCCATCTGAACCACAGGACACAGAGAACGTGCTCGGTTCTCACCAACAAGGCACACAGCCCCATTCTGGATGCACAGGAAAGAAATCATTACATACTCCTGCTGAGGAAAACGCTTATTTTTTCAGTGCTGTTAATCTGTGAATGCCCAACTGTGAACATGGAATTACCCATTACTGCCTCAAAAGGAGTCAACAGGGAACCCATGAGCTCTACTTGACCGCACACTGAGTGCTCCTGCCAGGCCCCCTTTCACCTCATCCCTGCGCCCTCCCCCATGCACACACCCCAGCACACACGCCATCAGCACGGAATGTGTCAGGCCCTCCAGACAACTGCTCAAGTCAGTCACCACAAACAGCTCACACAAGCCCGGACAAGGGCCTAAAAGCATGAGTGTACAGCTGACCCCTAGACACCACAGGGGTTGGGGCCCCAACCCCCACACACACAGTCAAAACTCCAGGTTATCACTTTTGACTCCCCCAAAACTCTACTAATAGCTGGCTGTTGACCAGAAGCCTCACTGATAACACAAGTCGGTTAACGTGTATTTTGTGTGTCGTTATGCATTACATACTGTGTTCTTACAATAAAGTAAGTTAGAAGAAAATGTTATCAAGAAAATCAGAAGGATGAAGGGTGCCTGGGGAGGGGCTCAGCGGGTTAAACACCCGAGTCTTGGTTTCAGCTCAGGTCATGATCGCAGGCATGTGAGATCGAGCCCTGCACTGGGCTCTGTGCTCAGTGTGGAGTCAGCTTGAGGATTCTCTCTCCCTCTCCTTCTGCCTTTCCCCCTGCTCACATCCACTCTTTCTAAAATAAAACTAAATAAATAAACTATTGAAAAACAGAAAACCAGAAGGAAGAGAAAATACACTGACAGGACTGTACTTATTTTAAAAACCTGCCTTGGGGCGCCTGGGTGGCTCAGTGGGTTAAGCCGCTGCCTTCGGCTCAGGTCATGATCCCAGGGTCCTGGGATCGAGCCCCGCATCGGGCTCTCTGCTCAGCGGGGAGCCTGCTTCCTCCTTTCTCTCTGCCTGCCTCTCTGCCTACTTGTGATCTCTGTCTGTCAAATAAACAAATAAAATCTTTAAAAAAAAAAAAAAAACAACCTGCATACACGTGGACCCGCACGTATTCACACCTGTGTTGCTCAACACTCAGCTGTACCTTCACCAGAAGGAGACGCAGTGGCCAGGACGCTCCAGGCAGAGAAAAGGCCATCCTCAAAAGCACAACATCACAGGGAAGGCCTTGAGAACGACAGAAGTTCTGTGTCGCCACCGTAATGTGGTAACTGGGAGCAGGGTCGGGGAGGGAGCGGGGGAGGGACCAGAGACGAAGCTGCAGGGTGGAGGGCCTCACGCCACTCAGGAGACACGAGGCGGAGCCACAGCAAGGTCGCTGCCCAAGAAGCAGCCAGCAGAGGGGGCCTGCAGGGCTCCGAGGGTCCCACCTCTGCAGACAGTGTCCTAGGAGTCAGGGCACTAACCGGAATACACCTGTTCGCGAGTGAGAAAATTCATTCGCTTCCTCACGGTTTCACCTAAACAACTTTTTCCGGAACCCCGACGTGCCAAGGACCGTCTGGGGACAAGGCCACCCTGGAAGAAGAAGGTGGAGCCCGTGCCCTCCCAGGGCTGACAGCCCAACGCCAGGGTCACATGGCAGCATGTGGGTGCACACATGATACGATGCAGGACAAACGACGCGAGGAACGAAAGCACGTCCCACGAGAAAAGCCACGAGGGGCCGTGGCACGTGGGCAGACGCGGCCTGAAGGGGAGCAGTGGCTACGACATCTTCATAAGAAAAACAGAAAATGTTCAATCTGGCATCCCTTGACAGGATTATGGAAAATGTAAAACAGTATTAAAAGTACAACTGACCCCCATACCACTCTCCCAGCGTCCAGGTATCCCTTGCAGCAAAGCAACTTTCCAACTGATAGCACTGCTCTTCACGTCACTTATTTTAGGTCAAAAAACTACAAATGATTCTTTTTCTGCAACAGAAATATGCAGCTTATGGGGGGAGGCACTGGATTTAGAAACACGGCCTTTAAACTGACTTAAAAGCACGAACTTTCCTTTTCATTAAAGCTATTAAAGAAGAAATCTCCCTTAACGAGACTACAAAGGAGTGTAAAAGCTTAAGTGTTGGAAGCCGCGTAGATATAGTAAGAATTTCAAAACCACAGCATTTATAAAAATTCTGACCACAATCAAAAGATTAACATTTTTTTCAAGTTTTTGATCATCAGGTCTGTGACTCCGAACTAAGTTTTATTTTCCCTAAGGCAACCTTTCCATAAGGCTAGGGAACCCAGGAGCTACGGCAGTCACCCAGGGCACCGGGGATCACGTCAGTCCATCCTCTCATCTTCCAGGCCGAGAAACTGAATCCGAACCCGGTGAAGAGCCTGGCTCTGGTCACAGAAGGAACAGCCATCACAAGGAGGCAGGGAGCCACGGTCTCCGTGCTCCCAGGGCAGTGCCCTTCCCGCTACAACACTGGAAGATCATGGATGGGTACCCAGGCTCTGTCTGAAAGAACCATGGGAAAACTACACGTGCGTGGGGTACGTACCAAATCATTACACAGTGGCGTGAACACAGGAGCGCATTTCAAATTAACTGCAATGAAAGGACAAGCACAACATTTTGTTCTGGATGTTTCTGAGTTTGCCTTTACTGAACGATGGCGCCAACCTGGATCGTGCATCCCACGTAAATTACCGCCTGTTGTGGCTAAGCTGTAATGTCAACCAACCAATTTAAAACCATTACTGACACAGAAACATGTATTTAGAGACTTTGTGCCAACTACGAAACCACATAGTTTCTCGGTCATGTGCACAGGATACTGTGTATGGAATGCTAAATACTTAAAACCACACTGGTTTTTGGGGTTACCTTTCTTGATTGCTCATTTTGGCATACATTGCTTTCACCAATTCCGGGCTTTTCAGAAAATGGTCTGTAATAATCAAGAACCTAAGAAGAAAAGGAGGAGAAAGTGTGGTTACTAGAAACATAGTACAATGGACATGGCCTTCTTGACTTGATGGGCATTTTACACATAAAAATACTTCTTTTTATTGAACTTTTCATTTGCTGTAATCTTAAAATGTTTTAAGAGGGTCACGTACCATTTTTCCATTAGCAGCTAGAAGAAAATAAAAACCCTCCAAATAGGTTTCTCCAATTTTACTTTGGAAAAATTTATTGAAATGATTCAAATTCATTCAAATCCAGGTCCTATCTAAGTTTCATTTCAACTGTAAAATGAAATTTAGCTACAAGTTCATGTATAAACAGGAACCATAATCAGTTGTTTTACTCAGAAGGTAAAGTGCTAAAATTAACTGGGGAAGTGGACATGTCACACATCTTATTTAAACATATGCCAACGGGGCGCCTGGGTGGCTCAGTTGGTTAAGCCTCTGCCTACGGCTCAAGTCATGATCCCAGAATCCTGGGATCGAGTCCCACATCGGGCTCCCTGCTCAGCAGGTAGTCTGCTTCTCCCTCTGACCTTGCCCCTCTCGTGCTCTCTCTCTCCCTCTTTCTCTCTCTCTCTCTCAAATAAATAAATAAAAATAAAATCTTTAAACACATGCCAACAACCCAGTAATGCACACTGGCTTTATTACCTCGTCTGTAAGAGCTCTCGAGTTACCAAGAAAACATCCTCATTGTCAAGCAACGCACTCATCTAAACTCAGAGATCAACTTATGGAAACCCCGAGGCAGAGATTATAAGCGTATTTCTTTAAAGTACCACTGTGACAACTAAAAAGACTGAATAGTATTATTAATTAATTCTGAATCATATTGGCCAGAAGGCATATTTGCAGGCTTAAGAACTAAAGAATATACTGTTTATAAGCAAGGCTACAGCAGTAAGAGTGACTGTAAAGCATTAACTTTATTTAGGAACACAGTTTACTTAACCACTTAAAAAAATATAATTGAAATTATGTGTTTTAGTATGATAACCAAATGAACCATACCAACTACCACAACACAGTGTCACTCATATAAAAGCAACATCCAAACGTGTTCTATTTCTTCCACAGTCCTCAAAATAACTGATCAGCACTTAGGTATATGGTATTTCTAGTAATGATGGATATATTCAAAATCCTCAATTTTCTTACCAGTTCAGGTAGGTCATCAGACTGCAGTAATAAAAATTCACACATTTTAAGCCAGGTACACAAAAGTGATCCTAAAACTCATTCATGATTCACCTTTCTGGAGCTCAAGACATTTTCCCAAAAGACCATTTCCTCAAAATTGCAATGTTCCGGGGCACCTGGGTGGCTCAGTCCGTTGAGCATTGTACTCTTGATTTCTGCTCAGGCCACGACCTCAGGGTCCTGGGATGGAGCCCCGCGTCAGGCTCTACACTGGGCATGGAGCCTGCTTAAGATTCTCTCTCTCTCTGCCCCGCCCCCTCCCCCCTGTGCTCACTTGCTCCCTCTCTCTCTCAAAAAAAAAAAAAAAAAACATAAATAACAATAAAAAATAAAAAGTATTTTAAAAAACACAACAAATGTTCCAGAACTGTGCCAGGAGCTAGATCACAATCCATATTCCAAAATGCTAACAGTGGAGAAAAGCCCACACAAAAATAGGGAATTAGACAAAAATGTCTTAGGGGCAACACACACATGCTTTGTGAAACAGAGAAATAACAAAGCTGACCTAGCCAGAGGGTCAGGGCAAGACATTCAAGAGGCTGGAGGAGGTGTTCCAAGAGTCCCTCACTGAAGGGGGACATGGAGAAACAGGATGGCAGTGGGCTCAAGGAACTACAACCAGGGAAAGACAATGAGGGTTTAAAGAGGGACTCAGGATGGAGAGCCTTCATCTCGGAATGCGACTGGCCCCCAGCTGTGGGCCCTCCCCATCCTTCAGCCAAGGTGCTATGACAACACCCTCCTTCACCACGTCAGCCAGTATCCTCTCCCTTTCTTTTTGATCATTTGTGTTGTTCTTTTTAAAGAACCATACTAGACTTAGTTCATTTTTTCTATTGACTTCTGTTCCCTGTGTCACTATTTTCGGACCTGATCTCGTATCAGTTGCTTCTTTCCACTTACTCTGGTTTTTCTGTGCTCTTGTATTCTTTACAAAGAACCTTCATGGAGGTCACTGCTTTCAAACACTGCTTCTTTCCCAGTAGAAACATTCAGAGCTATACATTTCCCTCCAAGACCTGCTTTAGCTTTATCCCCAAAACTCTGTATTTTCATTATCCTTCAGTTTGAAAGACTATCTAATTTGCCCTATAATTTCTTCTTTGACAAACTGATTCTTTAGATGAGCTAATTTCCAAAAGCCTGGAATTTTTCTCAGTACCATCTAATTATGGTTTTCTAATGTAAGGTCACCGGAGTCAGAGACTATATGTTTGTATCTATATGTCTGAAATCCTTTCTGCATACTTACTGAGACTTTTTACAGCCCATATTACGGTTGATCTTGGCGAACATTACACAGGCAGCTGAAAACAAGGATTTTGCAAGTGCTGAGGTAATGCTCTATAATACTGCTCCGTGAAGATGGCTCTGAGATCATCCACGTCTACACTGAAGTTGGTCTGCTCCAGTAGATGGCTGAAAAGTGTTAAAATCTCCAACTACCACTTCCAATTCTAGGCATAATGGACAACAGTTTACCCTCCTGCCTCAAACAACTATAAAAGCAGCCAAAATATATGAAACCATAGTTTTTCAGACAACAAACAACAGACCCAAGTCAGACTACGGAAAATAAAAGTTACTTCGGCGAACTTCCTTTTAAACCAACAAAATACTCTCATACGTGTGTGATAACGTGACTTGAGCAGGGTATTTATAAAACCCTTAAGGCCCAACAGCAGACGGAGACACACTCGGAAGGAGAAGGTGGAACCTGATTCAAAAAGGCTTCCAGGTGCGCGGGGCGGTGAGGGTGAAGGTGATGGGGAAGGGCAGGGGAGAGATGGGTCACAGCCACTCTGCGGTTCGACCGCTGTGACCATCAGCAGCGTCTAGAGCAGAAAGAGAAAGGGACCCACACTTTGACCCTGCTACGGAGAAAAAACACGGGCACATCAAACACCTAAACCTCAAAGCTGAAATGATACAACAGTGGACGAAAACTTCAGTAGAACTAAGATCTTTATAGCCACTACCAAAAATCTACAGGACATAAAAACGACTGACAATTTCATCCACGAAAACATCAAAGATTTTTAGACAGAAAAAAAGCCACACGTAAAGTCAAAAGACAAAAAAGTGAAAAAAATCTGCATTTTATTTCACACAAAAGACTACTGGCCCTAACTTAGAAAATATTCCTACATACAGGTAAGGACACAACTGACATCCAAATGGAAAAATGGGTAAAGAAAACGAGAACACACATAAGAGAAAAATGGGCTCTTCAACATATAAATAAAAATGGTGCTCAAACTCTTAAGGAAGATACAAATAAAACTCTGTAATGATACCATTTTAACCCTTGGAGCCTGGCACATCCTCTCTGACAGCACACTCTGTCAGCAATGACAAGAAACCAGGCCCTCTCTAGTGGCCAACAGGACCGTATACTGGTACCAAAGCTATGAAGGACTACTTGGCAGTGTTTGTTAAAATATAAAAAAGCATATTCCCTTTGACCTAATGATCGCACTTAACGGATTAAGGGAAATCATACCAGCCCACGTGCAATATGATGTAGGTATAAACAAGGCTATTCCCTGCCGAATTCTGTATTTACGGGACACTGGGAACCTAAATGTTCACCAGTAAGGAACCGATTAAATAAACTGCGGTATATTCACACAGCGGAAGAGAAGTTCTTTATATACTTACATGGAAAGTTCTCGAACATGCACTATTTGCTTAAAAAAGTAAGAGGCTCAGGAAGCCTGGACGGCTCAGTTGAGCCTCCAGCTCTTGGATTCAGCTCAGATCATGACCTCAGGATCCCGGGATCGAGCCCCACACAGAGCTCTGTGCTTGGCATGGAGACTGCTTGAGATTCTCTCTCCCTCTCCCTCTGCCCCTCCCCCTGCTCGCACACTCCCTCTAAATAAATAAATAAAATCTTTTAAAAGAGAATATATATATATAAATTTTCAAGAAAAGCAAGAGACGCAACAGTGTGTTGAGAAACAAGCAAGCAGCTCACCTGCTCTGGGGATGGGGCTGGACAGAAGAACTAGGCAGATGGCTGGGAGGGAAACTAAGCTTTCTAAGACTTGAACCACAGGAATATATTATCTATCAAAGAACTAAATACGTGATTGAAGCGTATCCTGGAAGATTCATCTCAAATTTATTTCTGCTTTGTAGACACTGCGCTAGGCAGGAGTGAAAGCGTGGCCGTCTCTGGGCAGGACAGCTCGGTGGAGAACTCAGACACGTTTTGTTGTACCAGAAGCTACTTCTGGGCAGACATATTTAAATTCCTACTAATAAAGCAGCAAATACTATACACTGTCTCCTGTGAGCCAAGCGCCATCTAAGGAACAGCTTAGTACATGAAACACGGTGTGTATTTTTCTTCAAAGCATTCATCCGGCGCGGAATACATTTATGGGGGGGGGCTCATTCTCTGTCTCTCACTAAAATGTAACGTCTGAATTTTGAATCTCCAGTGCCACGAACAGCACCTGGGCACACTTCACTCAATCAGTGTCTTCATGGCTTAGCTTATGTTTCAAGTGAGCATTTCTAAGTTTCTCGAGTTTCCTACAAGCCTAAGCAAAGAAGGAGTGCCGTCTACCTCACGAATTCGAGACAGAGGAGCATCGGATCCTCAGGAAAAGGGCAGGTTTTCCTAGGCACTGGGTTTCCGGTCAAATGCAAAACCATATGCTTTAGAAGTCACCAGAACTGAATACTAGCTCACTCACTTTCACCAAAGATCATTTAAAACCCAAAGCCATTGAAGCCAAGGGCAAGAATGACATCTTCCCGTGATGCTACGTAGAAGGC